TAGGATAAGTCAATGAAAATATTGAATATGTGTTTGAAATCCACATTCGTACTTCTAGTAATGAAAGTTTAATATCAATTAACATTATTCAATCATTCTATAATATTTTTAATGTTACAAAGTAATGATTATTATAAGCAGTAGTAATTAAATTAACTCCGACTAAACATGATGGAGTCAGAAAGTTCTGAACAGCAAGACGATGACATGGTGAGATATTTTGCTTTTGTCTTTTCAAAAGTAATTTTGCAACATAAAGCAGCTACATACGACTGACCTTACATCCTTTCATAAGGAAACTTTTAGTTATACAATACGCGTTTTCAGTAGGAATAGAATTGCTTTGAAATTGTCACAAATTAAATTAAGGACTTCATTTTCAAAAAATTGATTGTCAATTTCCAATTCAAAGAGAATGTTTTAAGTGTTTTCTAAATTATCACAATCTCAGCGGTCAATTTTCGGTGTGATTCTGAGATCCGACAATCTCATCGTCAGCTCTATATAAATTCATTCAAATTGAAATTCATTCCAATTCAATTTTTATCATGTGCTAGTCAATTACGACTGAAGTTGTAACATTTTCTCATAATCAATAATTGACATAATTTTCCATTAGACTCAATAATTTACATATATGAAATAATCCACATTGAACTTTAAAAGAGTAGTCTTGAATAAATCATGATGATGATAGCTTACTAGCAATCGAAATGAGTTTAAATTTTCAAAGGTAAATTAAATATCTACAAATATCAATAAATAAGTTATACAAATGCTAAAGTAAAGTTTTTTAAAACATTCTCAATCTTTTTTTATTTACTTTTAGTTTGAAGATGCTCGTGAAAATGTTTCCGATTCTTATGAGTCGACATCAATTTCATCCCGTCCAATGGATCTCAACCAAGCTCTGCTTGAATCAAAAGTGGCGATTGATTATTTTTTCAACAATAAATTTGAAGAAGCTCGTCAATTGATGAGAACTAATTCGGACAGCTCAATTTATCATGCTGTGGGTCACAGCGTATTTCTATTTCTAGAAGCTATTTTAACATTTGAACAACAGCATATAGAATCAGCTGTAGTTGCAATCAAACAATCTATTGAAATTTGTAACAAATACCGCAGGAAAACTACAATGTCAGAATATATTGGAAAGCCTTTCAGAAAAGCTAAATTCGAATCATTTACTGAAATTGAAGCTCATGCCGAACTATGCTCAGCCGAAGCTTTACTTTTAAAAGCTCTTTTAACTTTCATTGAAGATGAAAGCTTTTCGAGCATGATCAAAGGCGGGATAAAGATTAAAGCTTGTTTCAACAGTTACAAGTAAGTGTTTTAAAATTGTAATTGATAGACTTATTAACAACTCTTGTGGGCATCAATTCCATCCCACTGATACTCTACAATAACCCATTACATTATTTTATTATCTTCATCTATGTTTTCTCTTCTCATTGTTAAAAGAGACTGCATTGACTTACTCGAAAAACGAACATGGGAAAATGAGACAAGCAAAAAGCATTTTGAGAGTGGCGTATTAATGGGGAATGGCACGTTCAACCTTATGATCTCTTTACTACCATCTCGAATAATTAAACTTTTAGAGTTTATAGGATTTTCTGGAAACAAGAAAATGGGGATCCAAGATCTAATGAACGGATACAAACTATCAGGACTCCGACAAGTTCTTTGTGTTATGACACTTCTTGCTTATCATCTCATTATATCTTATATTTTGAGTAATCAAGAAGGCGATCTGGTATTGTGTGAGCAGATGTTAAAGGAACAACTAGATGTATGTATTTTTTGATTAAATCTTATAAATTTTTACCTTTTAATTAAAAAACTAAAATTTCAGCTTTTTCCTAACGGTGTCTGGTTTCTTTTCTTTAAAGGACGCCTTGAATTTATGAAAGGAAATTTAGATGAAGCCTTGTTGTGGTATAATAGATCATTGAATTCCCAAAATACTTGGATCCAATTCCATCATATTTGTTTTTGGGAAATGCTATGGGTGCACACCTTGAAATTGAATTGGAGAAAAGCAAGTTTCTTTGCAAACTCTCTTGTTAAGTGCAGCAAATGGTCAAGAACAATGTACTCATACCAGGAAGCGAGCTTATTGTGTATGATTGATGAAAAGGAATTAACCGCTATGGAAAAAACAGCAATTGAAAAGTTATTACACGAAGTTCCAAAACATAAGCAACGAATTGCTGGAAAATCTTTACCAATGGAAAAATTCGCCTGCAAACGTGCAGAGCGATATTTTTTAACTGGAAGATTAATTATACCAGCTATTGAATTAATGTTTCTATGGAATTTTTTCAAAATATGCGGCAAACATTTTCATGTTGCAGATGGAATATTGAAGATCATTGAAAAAACTTTGAAAAGCATTGAACAACGTGCAGATGATTACGTAACTGACAACACAGCTTTACTGTTACTTCTTAAGGGATCTTGTTTACGACATATGAACAACCCACTTCAAGCTTTAAAGTAAGTTTTTGATCACAAGATTTGGAAGGGAAATTTGAAATTGAGTTTTGTATTTCTTCATCGACATTTTTCATTAAAATCAGTCAATCAGTTTATATTGAGAAAAAGAATCTAAAATTTCTCAAGCACTAAATAGGAGAAACATTTTTAGATAAGATGTAATGAATTAAAAATTTATTTTTTTCTTTGAATATTTCGTATCGAACTTCTTTTCGAATTTTTCTTCAAAATTCTGTTTGTAAAATTATTGATGAAAATAACGATTTAATGAAATATTATTTAAAGATGCCTAGAAGATTCCATTTCTTACGAGGAAAGCATCAAGGAGGATTGTTTTATTATCCCATACGCAATAGTTGAAATTGCTTTCCTTCACATTGATCAAGGAAATTTTGACGAAGCCATCAAAAACTTAGAGAATGCAAGGAAGAACTACACTGGATATAGTCTTGAATCGCGATTACATTTTCGTATTCATACAGCGTTGAGTGATTTGAAATGTTATAATCAAGAGAATTAAATAAATATATATTAATAAAGAAACGAAAATAATTCATTTGAAAATGTTCATTAATAGTTGTTGAGATCTTTGTGAAAATATGAAATTTCAGTAGAAGAATCGAGAAAGCTTTAAAACAAGATGAAATAAGTTTTAACAAACACTTTTATTGGCAGTTAAATTTGTGAAGAAAATTAATTCTTATTTACATTGTGACATGAATTCATCTTCATTAATATGATTATGTAATTAATTTTCTGTTTCAGATGAGAACAAAGAAATCCTACTGAATGTTCTGAAACTAAATAAATTCTTACCGAATTCTAAGTTCTGTTAAATATTTATAAGTTTAAGTATCATTTTTGATATCGAGTTGATGTGATGAATTGTATTGTAAGTTTTAATTGTTAATTAAGGATAGAACCATTCAAAATTATACCCTCTGAGTCTGTTGTTGTTTTCATCGTAGTACTGCGGATTAATTGTTTCCTGTCTAATGAAAGGCATAAAACCAAATTCATTCGCTTTGTACGATACAATTCGTTTGATATTATCTCGTCCCACCGAGAAATATTCGCCATTTTTATTTCCCAAGCGATCACCTTCCTCGTTATGACCTTGGAAATCTGTTGTATAATTGAATCTGTAAAGTAATCCATTCATTAATTTTTCCATCTTATTGTAATATTCAACATTTCCTCCTTGTTTATTGAAAAACTTCGGTGAGTTGAGTTTCATGTTGAGTGGTAATTGTTGAGAGTTGGGTGACTGTTGATTATCATTATTAGAAGAACCTCGACTAGTGCTAGTGTAGGGTTGGAATTGATTGTTTCCATTGGGTGAGTTAGAACCTCTAGCACTAGAGAATGAATTTCCACGATTGTCGTTTATGATTTTTTGTGGCAATGCATCTGGTTGAAGCGCGATTGTTTTTAAAGGAGGTTCTGATGGGAACGTGTCAGCTTTCTTGAAAATTTTGAATGGTGGTGGATTATCTATAGTTGAATCTGCCATTGCTGAAGGTTTCATTTTCGTGCTGTCAGGTTTCTTAGGTAAACTACACGAAGCGCAAGCTGGTTCTCCATTAGCTGATGCTGTCCCTGTCTTAGCGGTTGTAGTCTTAACCATAAACGGCTGAGGTGTTGTTGATGTCAACGCACTTTTACCAAAGATCTGTGTCATTGGACCTTTCATCAACTTAACATTCTTCATTGAAATGATTTTAAAATTGCCATTCTCATCAGTAGCATAAACTGTAACATGATAAACATCATCAGCTGTGATGAAGCCAAATTCACCCATAATTATGCCGTTCGCATCTAGAAATTGAAATTATAATTGCAATGCACTTGACAGAATGATTAATGTATTTGCCTTTTGATTCACGCCGATGTTGATTCCCTTCGATTGCATAACCAAAGTTGTATGGTTTGTTTTCACCAGTGTACCAGATGGATGCACAATTCGCTTGAAGCGCCAATGCAAGTAACACCTAAAGAAGAAGACGAAAAAGAAACGCAACATAAACACGTTGTAAAGTTTAATGTCTTCATGTTGTTACGATTGCATTTACATTATTTTCATGAACACTTTTTTATTCAACAATGGAATAAATCAATGATGTAATAAAGGAAACGCATCTTTAGACTTCAATTTTATTGAATTGTGAATCGTGACCTATTATGAATGTTTCGCTTTTTTTGCATAATTTTTCAAAGTTAATTTTTCTTTCATTGTTTTTTAAGATTTATTAGGTAGTTTTCATGATCGTCTGAAGGGTTACTTAAATTATGAATGTTAAATTTAATTTTTGCAGATGAATTGTTTGTTTGTTGTTTGACTGCACATGGAAAAAAGCAGACGATGAAGAGTCTTCAAAGTAAATCTTCATAAATTAAAATATCATCAAATGTATCGTCGCCTATGTACATAAAAATGTTTGTGCTTATAATTAATTTTTTATTCAAATCTGAAGAGAAGAAGACGGACTCAAATGAAACTTGACACATCCAGTTAAGATGTCTGCAAACAATAAATTTGTTCTTCTTGTGTTAATCTTATTTGTTTATTGAATTAACGATGTGATCGAACAAAATTAGAATCGAGATCTCCGTTTAAACAGACAACAGGATTTTATTGTCAATAGAAATGTCTTAAAGATGACTCAAGAATACGCTTGAAAGAATCTCGTAAATTAAAATTAAACAACAAACATTAAACCGAGCTCGACTTAGCATCTTTTGCTCGACTCAATCAAATCCGTTTGTTCTGCATAACTGCGGAAAACAAATCTCGGTGACACGATGATGTTCATGACGTGAAATGTTAACTCTAAAAAGTTTTGTAAAGGTAAGAGATGAAGCGTGAACCAATAAAATTTAGATTCTAAGAAAAAAATTAATTCTATTTGACATTAAATGAACGTCAATAAAGCTTCTAGTAGTCAAACATTGCGCATTCACATCGAAGACAAGATGAAGCCGCAATGTGCTAATCTCAACACCATATCTCTTTGATGAATGAATCACTGTCGAAAATAATTCATCAAACCTGTCATCAAGAATGTGATGTTAAATTCACATGTCAAACTCATTTCTGGTGTTTTTTTTTTGAAAACCCTAAGATAGGAAATAATTCAATTACATCTTCCCGGATGGTTGTGAACATTTCATTCAAATTTTAAGTACGCGTACATTCATTATTTGATTCAATTGTCAAGGATTTTAAATCGCATTAAGAAACATAATGAATCGATTGTAGCACTCTCATATAAATCAATGATTTGCTTACTCATTAAACGATTAGATATCTATCAAAGCTTTTTTTTTCTTACGATAATTAAGCGTACTTATTAATTGGAAAGTCACGCAAGCCATTGTCAAAAATGTATTCATTCAAAGTGTGGATTTCATCAGTCAATAAAATCACAAGGAAGGAATTTGTTTGCATTTAGAATATCAACATTTTTTATTATAAGTTTTTTCAATTAGCGATAAATAATTCTTGGAATAGATGATAATATTAAATTGAAAGCGTAAATTGATTGAAAGCGTTAATTGAAAACAGTATCGTAAATAAATCTTCTAAACAAATTTCCTACTGAATGAATACTTATTTAGCATAACTGCATTTTCTAGCATGTTTATTGATTTATGACACTCAAAGATAAAATTAGAATGTCATGGCCGTGACATCCAATTAAAAAGCTCTTGGTATGTAATAAAATGTATACATCAAATATTTTCAAACACAAGCGATATGACTACTTTGATTCATAAGTCACAATGCTATGTAGGGCGTGTTGTCTGTCATAAATAACTTAAAGAAGATTATCAATAACATTTTCATAACTTAATTCATTGATTTTATATCTTACAAACATAATACAAGATTAGTAGATATTAAGTTTCTCAATTTGGTTATTGATATGTGGAAAGAGTTCTAAGATGACTCACAAAGACTTTTATTGGTTTACAACTTCCTAAGTCATAAATCATAAAATCTTTTTTCGGTTGGAATTTGCTTAAAAATGCGTAAGCATCAAGAAGCGCGAAACAAAGAAAATATTTAATTAACTAACAGATGTTCAACTGAAGATTGAGACGAATTTATATGATTAAAAGATTTATCGACTTATTTTATGCAGCACTAGGATGTGACGAGTTGTGGCATCGAAGATATTGAAGGAAATTTCAAATTATGTGAAATTGTTTTTGCGCAAGAAAATAGGAAAGATTAACAATCAGTGAATGTGCGTAACTTAAAATGTTAATGATTTTCACCGCTTCTTTTAAGTATTTAATAATAATTAATCATTTTAAATCACTGANAAACATTCCAATTTGTCTGAATAAATAACTAGAAAGATAAAATGAAAAATATTTTTAACTTCAATTTTGAGATGTGATTTCAAATTGATTTTTATAGTAAAATTTACTTAAACTTAATAAATTAAATAAAAATAATCACAAAGTAAATTTTATTGGCATTCATTAATTTATTCATAAATATTATTTACTGAATATTTACAAACACAAGTTAATTCAGATTTTGAATGATATTTTATGATGTTTGTTAGAATTTGTTTTCACATCTACAAGGTATAGAGAACTAGAACAATTTATTGTTGTTTTGTCATAAACAATTTTCTTTGTTAAGGCGATATCGCCTTCGGGTCTTGAGCTGCCATAACAACGTTATCGTAATTCGTTATCATATAAAAGTGTGAGTTATCTTGCTTTTATCAGCAGTAATTTATATTATTGTGTCTAGGTAAGTAATTTTCTCTTACAAACAACAATTCGTTGACCGATTTCTTCACAGTAATTTATGACCAAAAGTCGCACTTTGCTTTCGATAAGAAATCAAAACAATTAAAATTAAGATAAAAAGAAATTATAAAAGCCACTGACAAAGAGAAAAAAGTTTGCAAGCAAGTGAAATAATTATTTTTAGCCTTGTTTTATTTGATTTGGTGACAAATTTCACGAAAATGATAAGACTGCTTTTAGTCGCAGCTGTGCTGACAACAGCGTCATGTCAAGTGAGTTAAGAATAAGAGACAAAAATAGAAATTAAACTGAATAAATTTTTTTCTCAACAGTTTCAACCAATTGTAACCACATCGAGTGGTCAACTGAGAGGTTCGAGAGTGTTTATAGGTCTTTTCGACTCCTACTTCTCTTTCAAAGGCATTCCATATGCTCAACCACCTGTTGGCGAGTTAAGATTCAGAAATCCGGTACCAGTTGTACCATGGACTGGTGTAAGAGATGCTTCAAATCATGGAGATTTCTGTCCAAATGGTGAAGTCTTTGGCAACTCAATAGGACATGAAGATTGCTTATTTTTGAATGTCTACACTCCAAATTTGAACGGAAATTTACCAGTGATGATGTGGATTCATGGCGGAGCTTTTATTATCGGAGATGGCAATACATTGGTTTATGGACCTGATTTATTAGTTGAGGAAGATGTTATCGTCGTCACATTGAATTACCGACTAGCGGCGTTAGGATTTTTGAACACTGGAGATAAAAATGCACAAGGAAATTATGGATTAAAAGATATCGTACTTGCAATTAAGTGGGTGAGAGATAACATCGGAGCCTTTGGCGGTGATCCCGAACAAATAACGTTGTTTGGACAAAGTGCTGGATCTGTCTCTATAAATATGTTATTGTTATCTGAAATGTCACGAGGACTATTTAAACAAGGAATAATGCAAAGTGGAACAGCCTTAGCTCCATTCACACTACGAAATAATGGAGTTGATTTAGCTGAACAAATTGGAAATAAATTAGGTCTCACATTCGATTCGACCGAAAGTTTAATGACCCAACTGAGACAAGTTCCATATCAAGACATTCTTTCTGCATCACGTAATATTGTGGGAATGGATAAACCTCTTGGATTGCGTCCATTTGATTTTGTTCCGTGTGTAGAACCAGAAGATTCTTTGGAAGAAAGATTTCTTACTGATGATCCCATCAATATTTTAATTAGTCAAAATTATGAGACTGTGCCACTTATGATCGGAACAACAAGTAACGAAGGATTGTTGCAGGTTCGAGAATCTCTCATTGATTCAGATGTGTTTCAAAGATACAATGAAAATCCCGATTTCTTCGTTCCTTTGTCATACAAATTAGACAAAGATTCACCTGAAACTATTGAAGTTGCCGATGAATTTAAAAATATTTATTTCAACAATGAACCGTTGTCAAACAGCAACCTTGTGGGGTGGGCAAAATTCCATACCGATGCACAATTTAAATTCCCGACAGATCGGACACTGCAATATTTTATGCAAACTTCCACTCATCCAATCTATTATTACGAATTCAGTTACTCGGGAACGTTGAACTTTTTAAAGCAATTGTTGTTTTTGTTTGATTATGATGGAGCATGTCATGCTGATGACATGTTTTATCTCTTCAAACCGAGTTTTCCTATTCCAATGTTTCCTTGGGATCAAGCGATACAAGTTCGAAGACGTCAAGTAAGATTATGGGCTAATTTTGCGAAGTTTGGGTAAGGGAATGGAAATAATAAAGAAAAAATAATTTAACTTCACTTTTTTTCCTTTAGAAATCCAACACCAACTACGGATAATCTTGTGAATACTATTTGGCCAGTTTATGATGAAGCAAGTAAAGCGTATTTAGAAATGGGCAAGGACTTGTCAATTAAATATGATCAGCCAAGATTGAAGCCATGGCATGACTATCAAATGAGATTCACTGGTCATATCTAATGATTTTCAATCATCAGATTGAAAAGTTTTACGAAACTTTCTTAGCCAATGATATTTTAATGGCGATCGTTATCGACTATCTAACATTTTTATTATTTTTTTGTTGTACAATTTTTAATTACTGCATTTAAGCAATTTACTCAATTATTATTCTGAAATTATTTGAAAATCTCAAAAACCTTTTTTAAGATTTAATTCTAAATTTTTGTATCTATTTAAATTCAATTTCAAAGCCCTGGCAAAACTTAAAAAATTTGTCATAATTTTATGAAAATAAAGCTTCATTAGATATTTGAAAGCTCTTCTGTCAATTATTTATAACAGTTTAAGCTTTTTAAGCCTTCCCTTGAAGAAGCTTTAACGTATTCATTCAACGTTCCTTTCTTCAATAATATTTTGACAGCAGCGATTAATAAAATTAATTGGATTTTTTTGTCACAAAACATGATTCGGGAGTGTGAAAACGATTAAGATAATGATTCCAAATTTTTCGCAATATTTCAAGCTAAGCTTGTAAGCAAAACTTTTACGATTCAATTAAAAATTGTGCATTGACATTAATTCAAATATCACGACACGTACAGCGATCGTTTAAGTTTGACATTTCCTGCAAACAAAACCGAGTTAAGCAAAAGTTATGCATAACTGCATTTTCTAGCATGTTTATTGATTTATGACACTCAAAGATAAAGTTAGAATGTCATGGCCGTGACATCCAATTAAAAAGCTCTTGGTATGTAATAAAATGTATACATCAAATATTTTCAAACACAAGCGATATGAATATCTTTGATTCATAAGTCACAATGCTATGTAGGGCGTGTTGTCTGTCATAAATAACTTAAAGAAGATTATCAATAACATTTTCATAACTTAATTCATTGATTTTATATCTTACAAACATAATACAAGATTAGTAGATATTAAGTTTCTCAATTTGGTTATTGATATGTGGAAAGAGTTCTAAGATGACTCACAAAGACTTTTATTGGTTTACAACTTCCTAAGTCATAAATCATAAAATCTTTTTTCGGTTGGAATTTGCTTAAAAATGCGTAAGCATCAAGAAGCGCGAAACAAAGAAAATATTTAATTAACTAACAGATGTTCAACTGAAGATTGAGACGAATTTATATGATTAAAAGATTTATCGACTTATTTTATGCAGCACTAGGATGTGACGAGTTGTGGCATCGAAGATATTGAAGGAAATTTCAAATTATGTGAAATTGTTTTTGCGCAAGAAAATAGGAAAGATTAACAATCAGTGAATGTGCGTAACTTAAAATGTTAATGATTTTCACCGCTTCTTTTAAGTATTTAATAATAATTAATCATTTTAAATCACTGAATGAAGTCATCAATATGATAGATGAAAGCTACTAACTGTGCAGATTTATTATTTACTTAATTAGCTCATATGACGTTCCAATTAAGAAATTAAGAAGTTTATATACTTGGTTTGGTGATTATCAATGTGAAAATTTCATTTTTGAGTGTTTGAGACATTTTAATTCAAATTTATGTGCACAAAAATATTTACTCACACTCAAAAGTAATCTCATATTCTTCAATATTTTCCTCACAGCTCTTTAATCACTTAAATGTGCTTATGTTGAATTTTATGTTTACTTCTTGAAGTTATTTTTTTGACAAGAACTTAAACTTTCAATTTCAAGCACACATTATAAAAATATTTGATTTGCTAAAAATAATTTTTTTTCTCAACAACTGTTTGTGTTTAAAATTTACACTCAATCGATACGATCTCGGATGCCTTGCGCTTCGGTCGAGAACGAAAGTAAGACTATCTTAGTTACAGCATTTGAAAACGATTAACGCAAAAATAATTAACTGGCGAATTTTCGAGCGGATATCAACGATTCGATGTTCGAGTGATGGTAAAATCTTCGAAGAGATGAAAATGTTAAGTCTCGTGCGATCACATTTTGCCGCCTTTTATTCTCTCGTTGGAGCTTAAAATATTAACCTGAAGTCAAACATAAACAAGCTTTGTTATTGAATATCAATCTAACGGTTACTTATTTCTCACCAATGCTAACTGTTTATAATTATCATCTCATGAAAGGGCCAAAGGGATGCTAATTAATTTACAAACATACAAAATTCATTCATCAATGTACTCAACACAATAATTAACACTTGAAAGCTTTCAATTCAAGTTTCAAAATATATTTGTGTCATTATAACAGTTTGAGCTTTTAAAAGCTCATCAATATTTTTTATAACTTCTCTCAAAACATTCCAATTTGTCTGAATAAATAACTAGAAAGATAAAATGAAAAATATTTTTAACTTCAATTTTGAGATGTGATTTCAAATTGATTTTTATAGTAAAATTTACTTAANAAAGCCCTGGCAAAACTTAAAAAATTTGTCATAATTTTATGAAAATAAAGCTTCATTAGATATTTGAAAGCTCTTCTGTCAATTATTTATAACAGTTTAAGCTTTTTAAGCCTTCCCTTGAAGAAGCTTTAACGTATTCATTCAACGTTCCTTTCTTCAATAATATTTTGACAGCAGCGATTAATAAAATTAATTGGATTTTTTTGTCACAAAACATGATTCGGGAGTGTGAAAACGATTAAGATAATGATTCCAAATTTTTCGCAATATTTCAAGCTAAGCTTGTAAGCAAAACTTTTACGATTCAATTAAAAATTGTGCATTGACATTAATTCAAATATCACGACACGTACAGCGATCGTTTAAGTTTGACATTTCCTGCAAACAAAACCGAGTTAAGCAAAAAGGGCCATGAAATTGAAATAGGTTTTTCATCTTCTTTTGTTTATCATGAGTACACAAATTAATAATCTTAGATATTGATAATGAATCATAAGACACAAGTAAGATAGAAAACGAAGAAGCAGTTGACAGAAGAAGACGACAGCGCGTTATTGAAGGTCAATTTTTCTTTCTTTATCTTCAATATTATGCAAGACATCTCTTAAATTATTACCATAAAAATATCTTCAAAGGGGATTGTTGAAAAATACGAAAAGCATTTCAAAGACAAATAATAATTGCTTGCTTCTTCGCGCCCCAAGCACTGTATGTCTGATAGCTTCATTGAGTTTTACAAATTTTACTGTTATTTCGTCATCGTTCTTGCAAACGTGTGTTAAATGAAACTGAAAGTGATTGCAAAATGTGTTGTATAGTTTTTTTTTGTGTGTGGGAACGTAAGTTTCAATTGATTTCTGACTATTAACATCGTAGGTCATCGGAAATGCCAAATGAAAGATGATTTTTCTTTAGCAATTCATAGGAAACTTGCAAAGTCGCAAGTCACAGAAGCCGTGAGATTTAGATGAGTTAAATCATTGATGATGTTAACAAAAGAAACAATAAAAGTTCGCTTAAATTTTTGTTTTTATTTTTTGACTATTGATCGCACAAGAATTAACAAAAATGACTTGAAAGATGGCATTAGAAGCTACGGGGAGTTGGAGTTAGTTTAGTTTTTTGGGATATGGGGAGCTGATGGTTGGAAACCGTTCTCGTCAGCGATGTAGGTGACGGTGTAGGTTTGGCCATCATCAGCAACGAAGGAGTATGATCCACGAACAACCAAAGCTTCATTTTCTGTTCCAATGTTCTTCAATTCGGCGTTTTCTTGACGAGCTTGTCCATCGCTGGTTTCATAACTGTTGATAAGAAAAGTTTTATATTAGCAACTTTGAAACTAAAATTAATCCTTTGACTGGTCAAGAACTTTGATTCAATTTCTTTCACTTTCAACATTTAACTTTGTATTAAAATTTCACTTTAACACTTCAAACTATTATGACAGTCGAAAGTATCCAAAATTTTAATCCTTACGCGAAGTTGTATCCTCCCAATCCAATGTTGTCGTTCTCGTATCTCAAGATTTGTGCGTTCTTTGAGTCGTCCAATGGAGCGGCTAAGCAGACGGCGATAACAGCGGCAAATGCAATAAGGAATTTCATGATGATGGTTTTTTGAATTATTTTTGTTTTACTTTGGAGGATAAGATGTGTTAACTTAACAGAAAGTTATAAGTTGTACTAATGAAGTTAAGTCGAAAGATTCGCCTATTTATACGATCGAGACGAAATATAAAAAGTGTTTAAAAAGAGGAGAAGGCATAGTAAAAAAAGAAGATCTGAACGCATTTACACACTGGCATTAAACGCTCTGTAAATCTCAAAAGCACAACAACAAGGCTCACTTCTTACTTGCTTGCTCAATTTCATAATTGGAAAAATATCGTTGAAGATATAATAAAATACGAGTGAACTGAACTCTCTTCTTCTCACCGCTCATTCAACATACGAGCGAGTCATGTAAGTAGAGATGGTCGGGATAGCCGTCAAATTACATCTGTATCGTTACTCTAAAGAAGAGTAATAAAATAAAAGTCATACTTCTATAAACATAAACATAAATCGAACATCGATGCACACACATAGGAGTATGCCTGGTGGTCGTCTGGTGGTTGCTTGTGTTTCACTTTTATGCATGCTTCGATCGATCCATCAACTTCATTTCGGTTCCTGCCCAATCAACTTTAAATGTCGTTCTCCACTGGCTAACGTTCGATGAAACAACGAAGAAAGAAAAGGAATAATAATAATAATAGCAACAATCGGTGGAATGTCTCTATAACTTCATCATCATCACCATCATCGACTTTACTAAATATTTCATGTTGAATGTCTCTCGTTGAACCCGTCAAATATTTATCAAACAGCAACGCACAAGGGAAAAAAGAAGAGATTTCAATTTTAATGTGAGCTTGCAAAAAGAGAAATAAAAAAAAGGTTCATCTGCGTGTAAGATGAAAGAGTCAAAGACATGCGCGAGCCGTGAAAAAACAAAAGTGGGTTACATGGGCAGATTGAATCTAGTTGAAGCTTCACTCGACCATAACCTTTGATAACCTTTCTCTTTTGTTGATGCAATATTGTGCAATAAGCTCAATGAGTCCACTAATGGCTATCATTAAAAGCTGTCAAAAGAAGAAGACTACAAATTTGACTTTAAATGTTTCCAGCAATCACAATTCATCAACATCGAATCAAAGGACGATGCTACGAAAGATAAACGATACCAGAAGGTTCTTCGCATAAACAACTTTCAAATCATTTCGAGATATAATTGAGCAAGGGATGAGAAGACCTTTCATATCCTTGGCTAGGTCATGAAGTGGAATGCAACAAGAATATTAACTGAGATGATGCGATTACGAATAATCGCGGTTTTTAATTCGTTTGTTATATTAAAGTTTTTGTTTAATAAAATGCTGAATGGATGTGTCATATCTTTTTCATTTCATGGTTCGTTGCATCTTAACATTCGATTTCATGATGTCGAATTGGACTAAAGCATTGTTTACAGTCGGTGGAAGTTTTTCTGCAAATTGAAACGAAAATAAATCTTTTTCTTTACAATCTGTTGAAGTTCTCAAGTCCACCAAACCACCATCATAGGATTGCATTGTGAACATCCTGGATGTCATGTAACTCGCTTTAAATCTGCTTAAAGTCAACAACTCTTTAATAATGCATCAGAGGTTCACATGAGAAGTAAATCATAGAATTAAATGACATTTATGTGAAAGATATCAACAATGGATGAAAAGGAAATTCCCTTTAAGACAATAGCGAATCTTCATTTGCATCTTCTTCAATAAATTAAAATTCCATTTGTTTCACGGACATTTTTTACGAAATAGATTTTGCTTTTTATATGCACGTAGGAGTTTATCGTTATTTATTTGGTTTGCTTATTTTCACAATTCATCTTCATCATTTTAATTTCTTCGTCTTCTTCATTCTCTTAAATCTTTCTTGTATTGTGATATTTGATATGACATTCAGGTTCGACATTGTATGTAACTCTTTGTACAATAATCATAGCTTTTATTTTCAATTATATTTACACGTTTTGACTTAATATGGAAGGAGAGGATTTTGGTAGGAAAGGAGATTTTTTTTGGAAATGAAAAGATTTTGGAAGATTTGTGTAATTGAGCATCACGAATTAGGCGTTAAAATAATTGATTTGATGCTTAAACTGGAATGTGATCTCCTTGAGGTTGGAAACCGTTCTTGTCGGCAATGTAGTTAAGTGTGATGACTTGGCCATCAGGTGCTGTCCACGTAATGGTTCCTTTCACTGCGATTTCTTCGTTTTCTGATCCCAAGTTATTTACAACAGCTGATTCTTGTCTTGACACGCCATCGCTGGTCTCATATCTGTTGGGAAAATTTTATTTATATTTTATTCAGAAATATTTTTACTGATTTATTTAAATTGTTGTGTGCAGAATGCAAAGTAACACTTTAAGGCATTATAATCGGGCATTCAAGCTGACAAAATATTGTTTCTTTGAACTTTTAGATTCTCTTCTTCTTCTTCTTCTTTTTTGTCTTAAATTGTTTACGACCATATTTGGAAGCATTGCTTCCTTTAGCATTTTTACTACTTGAAGTTCAGCTTGCCATACCCTGACATTGAACACTTTAATGCATTAATATAGTTCTGATGCTTACGCGAAATTGTATCCATCAATTCCAATGTTGTCATTTTCGTATTTAAGAATTTGTGCGTTGCTTGAATCATCGCTGGCACGTGATAATCTTGGGGCCTTTTTTGGTGGAGCGGCCAAAGCTGCGACGATCACCAAAGCGAACACAATAAGGTACTTCATCGTTTTTTTTTTGGAGTTAATTAGCTTGTGTCTCTCGTGAATATTTGATACTGCACTGACTGATAATAGCTTCGCGTTTGATGTTTTTATATGGTTTTTAGACCTTTTAATGGTGGTAGGCTTTTTGGAGGCTGCAGTTGTTGTCGCGCTTTCTCACAATACCGAATTCGATGATCGACTGAAATGTCATTTGCCTGAACCAAATTTTTACAACATCACAAAAACACGACTAACAATAAGACATAAAAAAACATACTAAACATCCCCAGACACATAATTTGATCGCATACGTGTGATTAACATATTTTAAACGTTATTTTAATATTTTTCTTTGAACGACTTTTTTCTACTTTTGAAATCAATGAATAAAAAAAATGTTGCAAACAGATTGCCAAAAAATTATCATAAATGTTTCAAGGCGCACAAGTTGGACTAACGTCACTTGCTTTGAACCTTTAATGATGCTTGCGTGCAGTTGACAGTCTCATTTGGATCACTTTTGTTCTTCAACAAGTAGAATGACTTGCACGAAAATCAATTTTTTTAAACTTTCAAGTGAGCTTTTATGGTGTAACAAAAAAATAGAAAAAATATTTTTCCATACGAATGAAACTTTTAAATAAAATGTTAAACATCGACATACGCTTGACGAAGTGTTGAAAGCTTATCATAGGTCAGTGTGTCGACTGTTGGCGTGGTATAAATGTCTCTAAGTGTCAATTCAATTCAACTTTTAATTACATCCATGCCATTTTAAGATGAATAGAAACATCTAAAAGATTTAAATATTGTGATGTTACTATCGTACGATGTCTCTGAAGAATAAGAAGAGGTGTCAGTGATCAAAAAAATATTCCTTTTTCTTTTCATGAAATTCGGAAATTTATGAATTTTTGGGATTTGAATTTCTGACGAAATTTTATTTTGCATTTTTTCGGTTTTTCTTTTTATTATTGCATGGAATCCCGACAGCTGTTTTAAAATTGATCTCGCTAAACTTGCATAGATAAACATAATATAAATAATAAAAGTATTCGAGGCGTGATAAATTTCATAAAAAGTAGCAAAAGTGTTGCATATATTTATTTTTAGTCGCCATTTAACAATAAATGTCTTGATGAATCTAAAACTATCGTCCGATGATCGTTTAAATGTAAATAAATATTCTAGAAATGTCAACGAATCAATAAATTCTTGATTGAATCTCTTTGTCTATCGAACAACTAAATAGCACTTTGTAGATGTAGAAATTTGTGCAAATCTAGTGAAGCGTATGAAACTTGTTTTTTTAAAGATTCATTGGAACGTGGCCACATCTATATTTATTTTTTTTTTCATTAATTAACCGGTTTGTCTCTGATTTTTTTTTCTTTTCATTCACTATGATGATACTCGAAACCTTGAAATTGGTTTTAAGCTGAAAACCAAACAGACCTCAACAACGTCTTAAGAAACAAATATGAGAATTGATAAACATTAATTATTCATACAAAACTGAATATCTAATTCATGATTTAGACTGTGGTTCAGGCTTGGCGGGTGTTTAACATGAGCGCAGTTCATGCCATTAGATATGCGTGAAAAGAAGACGCTACAAAGCTCTGTCTAAATTGGTGATCATCATCTCATCTCAATCATAAAGGTCATTGTCATGATCAATAATCATGATGGTGAATAATGGCTTACAAGCTTTTATATGTTGATCAAGCCCTTGACAATCGAATAATAATATTTATGTCTTCTTTTTTATTTATTTATTCATTTTTTTCGTGTTTATAATTTTAATGATTTATTCCAAATTAGATTGATTTTATCAGTCTACAATTTCGGGCCTAAAGCCTTTTTCGTCGGCAACATAATTCACTTTATGAACCTTTCCGTCATCATCTACAAACTCATATGATCCCCTGACTGCTAATCCACCTACATAGCGGAAGGTTCCGACTTCCTGATGTTTTGATCCATCCGAAGTCTCAACACTTTAGATTTACATAAAAAGGAAAAAAGATTATTTAATATCAATATCAAATCAACTATCAATAAACTCACTCAAAACTGTAACCCTTGTCACCGTTGTTAACAATTTCACTTTTTATAACCTCTGCTTTGTTATCATCAACTGGAATCGCAATGACAACACTCAATGCAAAAGCTACCAACAAAACGATCTTCATATCTCAATCTTAAAATTTTAGTCCGTTTACGTCTCAATAAAGTCCAACTATCAATGTTCACAAAAGATAAAAATAAATAAAGAATATTTTTATAAATCAAAAGATTGAAGACAAAACAAAAGCTTATTTGTTATTACACAACAACACACAGTTAAAGGTTTTTCCTTTGATGATATCGTATGATAATTATAAATGTTATGACAGCGATGAAGATGTCGTTGATGGTCTTTCAACTGATCCAATAATCGCGATAAACTTTTCGTGTTTGAATGATTAAATATTTTACTTTCAATTTCAACCAGACACGATCGTTCTTTTCGACGCGGATCTAAGAATAAATTTTTGATATTTAAATACGAATCATCACATTTAGGAACAGAGACTTATATCAGCACATAAAAAAAGAAGTCCAACTATTTTTGTGCTGCTGCTTCCACGCCGAGACCGGTTTCACGAATGTTAATTTTTCTATTTTTCACCGGCATTTTATGATATTTTTATTCAAAATGTTCTAGTTGATTTGAATAATGATGCTACATCAACGCAATGCAATGAAAGTTTTATTTTTCCATTTGTATGTGATGTAATCATTGACTAGGTTAACATTAACTTTTAAAGTCATACAATTAGTTTTCATTTCTATCGAAAACATTCTCAGAATCTTTTTTTTAAAAAAGCAACCAAACAAAACGCATGTTAGCGAGTCACCCGCTCACTCAACCGAAAAATAGTCGCAAATATCAGGGGTTAAAGATATAGGAGAAGAGAAATTCTCAGTTGTGTTGTGTTTGAACCTTAGCTGAAACACTGGTTCTCAAGACGTTCTCAAATTTTGATGTTTTTGCCAATTTATTTAAATATCAAACAATCTTAATGTGAGAATTTCTCGCGACTATAAAAGACGTTAGATTCCATATTTTCATCATCACTTTGTTTTGAAATTTCTTTAAGATAGTCAAGAACTTCTAAACCAAAATATTCAAAATGAAATTCCTTATTGTGTTCGCTCTCTGCATTGTTGCTGCTTTGGCTGCACCACCAACTGGAGACGTCTCCATCCTTAAGTCAAACTTCGCCAACACTGGAGAAACATACGCATTCGAGTAAGTCCTTTACAAAATTGATGAAAGTTTTCTGATTAACTTCAACAATTATTCTACTTTCATGAAATAGCTTCGAACAAAGTGATGGACAAAAACGTGACGAAACCGGCGAAGTTCGTAACATTGGAACAGAAAATGAAGGTATTGCCGTTAAGGGATCATTCTCTTTCGTTGCTGATGATGGCCAGACATACACAGTCACATATGTTGCTGACGAGAACGGTTTCCAACCATCAGCTGCCCATTTGCCAGTAGCCTAAGAATCCACTGCCTGAAATAACTTCTCTCCCTTGTTATGAAAAAAAGATTGATAAATGTTTTGAGAAATAAAATGTTTTGTTACAAATGAAATCATAATTGACATTCATTCTTATCTGTGAAAATTTCTAATTCAAAATTAGAATAATTTAATCTGCTCTAAAATTGAAAGAGATAAAAAGAAGTTTTACATAAGGCTATCAAAAGACGTCACAACTGACAAGACCACATGTGGCGTGTTCGTGATAGTGGAATGGTTTATTTTAATGTCATGGGTAATCTTTTCATCACATCTCTTCTGGCTAACACGAAGATGATTTTTACTACTCTAGTATCACCGATCGATATCACGTTTCCAAATGCCAAACTCGGTTGAATATTCTTGCCTACGATCGAATTTTTAGCAATCGCTGCATATAATTAAAAGTTTTTTTGATTTCAGCAATTGCTTATTCAACGACGGTATAAAAAGAGACGAACGTGTAAGCTCCACTATCAGTGTTTCTTCAGTTTCTTTGGAAAGCAATCACAAAATATCAAAATGAAATTCCTTATCGTGTTCGCACTCTGCATTGTTGCCGCATTAGCCGCTCCAGCTGATGTTGAAATCACCAAGAGCAGCTTCGATAACATCGGAATTGATGGATATTCTTTCGAGTACGTACAGTTGCAAGACAGTGGATTTAAAGTGATAAAAAAGTGAATAAAAAGTAGAAAGAAAAGCAATATGAACGAATCTGTTGTTCACGGTGACATAAGAACGGAAAACTTTTTATGAAATGTTGAGTTGAGCTTTGAAATAAATGAAGAACATTCAATGATTCTCATGCATAATAAAAGGCTCCGTTGAATTCACCGGGACCCAACAATAAGTTTAAAGAAGAATAAAAAAAAATAAAATATGAAAGAAAAAGAAGAAGATACAAATGAATGCCAACAAGTAAAAGTTTGATCTTTAAATGTTTATGGCGTATGTCGAGCAGCGAAATAATATTAAAGAAAGAAGAAGAATCTGGATTATTGCATTCTGCTTTTAAAGTGAATTGAAAGAATTTCTGATTCTGTCTCAAGGTTTTATTGCAAGGCTGTTTTGAATATGCCACAATGAACCTGAGCCATTCACATCTTCTCAATAAACTTTAAGATTCTTTTGAATGTTTCTACAATGAATTTAATTTGAATTAAAAACAAAATTCGAAGCGTTAATTAAAACTGAAATAATTAAATGTCATTTTCCTATTTTTCCTTACAGTTTCGAACAAAGCGATGGACAAAAACGTGAAGAATCAGCTGTTGTCAACAACTTAGGATCAGAAAACGAGTCAATTGCCGTCCGTGGATCATTCTCTTTCATTGGTGATGATGGCCAGACATACACAGTCACATACGTTGCTGACGAGAACGGTTTCCAACCATCAGCCCCACATTTACCAGTTGCCCCAGTTGCATAAGCTTCCGTTTTCTCTTTCGTTCCTAACGAACTCCTTAATGGACAATTTGTTACAAATTTAAATAAAAAAAATCCTTGAACATATTTAAAAGCTTTTTGTTTCTAACTATATCAATATCATTATAATTTTCTGTTCAGGAAATGCCGATCGAAATAAAACTTCCAAATTAGTTTTATGAAGCGCCATAAAATTAATTTTCAGCATCAGAAATTTTTACGATCTACACTCCTAGAAAAAAAGAAGATTTTTGACAATCATCTTGAATTTTTTTAATCTATTTTACTAGATGACATCTTGATAGTATCACGTATTGCTACGGAAATAGTTTATCAAAGTCACTAATGTGAGGGATGATCAGCCGACCAAACTTTATCTAAGATTTGGTAAACGTTTCTTTTTTACGAGTATCGATTTGCATACTGATGATCAAACTTGTTTCGCTTGAGTTGCCCCTCTTTAAGTCATTGTCAAAATTATTAGAAAATTTTCCAACAAACACAGATATCTGATAAATTATCGTCTAGGGGTTGTCACAAATTAATGCCAGGTTTTGTAAGATATTTGTGTGATCGAATAAGAAACCAAAAATCAAAGAAGTGTGACTAACTTGACGAATGATTTCTATGACCGTAAAAAAAGACTATGAACATCTTCAGGAATTAATGATATTAATCTTGTTAATATCCATTCAAGAACGATTTTTTCCATAAAGTTTGTATTCAAGGAATCTCCAAGGCTCATAAGCTTTAATAAATTGATCTAAATGATTGCATTTTTTTCTTGTGTCAAGAGTATATTAATTATGGAACGTTGTCACGATGCTCAAAGCGTGTCGATGTAAAAATAAAAAGTAAATATCGATGATACATCTGTTTCTACACCATAAAATAAAAACACTTAAAGTCAGGGGTTGTTTTAGTATTGTGTTGAGTGTCAAGACATTTATTGCAAGTATTGAATGCCTCATTCATCTCCCCTGTGGTTTTAAGATGAAAATTGCGTTGATAACGTTTGAACATCGCACACCAACATATGTAAATGAAAGCCAAGAAGCGAATGTTGAGAATACTTGTCTACGGCTCAATAATAAATAGCCATCCATGTATTGTCATACGAATAAAGCTTGTCACCATGTGTTTGATACCAATATGGGCTTTTGGTATTGATCTTTGTATATCAAAAGCTTTAAAATAAAAAAACGAAGCGATGTCTTTGAAAGTCTAAACTATAAAAGCCACGCACATCAGTTGCATTAGATCACAGTACTCTCAAACTTCTTTAAAGTAGGAACTGACAAGTTTTCAAAAAAAAAATCAAAATGAAATTCCTTATCGTATTCGCACTTTGCTTCGTTGCCGCTTTGGCCGCACCAGCTGATGTTGAAATCCTCAAGAGCAACTTTGAGAACATTGGAGTTGATGGATACAAATTCGAGTACGTTAAGTTTCAAGATAAATTGTTGCAGTTAATTGAAAGTGAAGTTTGAGTGAAACTTTAAATATTTCATGAAGAATTATTGAAACGAAAATGAAATGAATTAAAGTCAAGATTGAGTTTAAGATTCAGAACTGCAAGCATTTTAAATTAATCTGACAGTAACTGAAATAAATATTAATTCTTATTCTTCGCTTCTTCCTTAAATAGTTTCGAACAAAGCGATGGACAAAAACGTGAAGAATCAGCTGTTGTTAACAACTTAGGATCAGAAAACGAGTCAATTGCCGTCCGTGGATCATTCTCTTTCGTTGGTGATGATGGCCAAACCTACACAGTCACATACATTGCTGACGAGAACGGTTTCCAACCATCAGCTGCCCATTTGCCAGTTGCCTAAATTCCTTTCCTTAAAAATTTTCCCTGCCACAATTCCTATCCACCTTTTGTAATTAATTTTCAAATTTATAGAAAATTTAAATAAATCTGAAAACACCAAATACAAATTTTTGCTTCTTATTTTTTCATATTTTTTTCATTTTCATTCGAATTCACAACCGACAATTTATTGCTGATCCAGTTAGCTACGAGGAAAAAATAGATAAAGAAATGTCACGTTTTTAATAAATTATCTATCAAGTTATGTATGGAAAGATGAAGTTGAATAATCTTGAACTCAATCTTGAAGAACCATGATATAACTTTATAATTATTCAGTTCATGTTGCCGTCTTTTTCCGGTAACTCATTTTTCATACCAAACTTCCTGAAAGTGTTCGCTTTGATTTTAATAAACTTATTGTCATTAAAGTTCATTCTGAAATGCAAAAGATGTAATCCATTGACGTCATTACAACTTTTTATTCAATTCCTGTATCAATAAATTTTTATTCAAGGCTTCTGTCCATCCCATTTAAAAACGCGAAACCACAAAAATTCATTTCGATGATATTTTTGCTTCCCTGTTGATAGTTTATAGACACGACGAGAATTCAACCGACAACAAGACAAAAAAAATGAAACGTGGATGAATCGATTAAAAATCGTAGAGAGATTGAAATGCGATAATCAATGGAAATCCCTTAACAGCAGGAATGTCGCATAAACTCAACTGTCAATGATCGACACAATGCAACAGATGATGATATAATTCAACTATTATCTGCTTATAATAAGCAAGCAAATTGATCATTACTTTTTTTTGATGAAGTCGTTTATATAATAAATGCTCACAAGTTTTCTTCTTATCTGTCTCAAGTCTCAACCATATTGACCGACTCTCGCATAGTAAGCCTTAAGAAGATATTTGAATATTTTCGTAATCTTCGTGATGAATAATTTGGGCTAGGTAAACATATGTTACACCAAATCGACAATCCCAGTAGCGTACACGTTCACAAGCTGATAAATAATATTTAGTGATGTGATTCTTGTTCATAATCTTAATCAACGATTCATCTATTCAAGTACTTTAACTATTTAATTAAAAAATTAAATTAAATAAAAAAGATATCATCGAAGCGATTTAAAATTAAATTTTACTTTTATTTATTTACAACACAGTTATCGCTGTTCACTTTACAATGTGCATAAGTTTTCTTTTATCCACGATGTTCATTTAGCTATGCAAACTCAATGGCAACTATAAACAAGAGTCTTCACTTCACGAATAATCAGTTCGAAGACAGTACAAATATTTATCCTAATTTGAATTTTAATGTTTTGAAGATTGCACGATCTGATTAAGCTACGGGAGCGACTGGAAGATGATCACCTTGAGGTTGGAATCCATTCTCATCAGCAATGTAATTTAATGTAAAGACTTGGCCATCAGGAGCTGTCCACGTAATACTACCACGAACAGCGAGTGCTTCATTTTCAGAACCTTCGTTCCTAAGCTCAGCTTCTTCTTCTCGTGCTACACCGTCGCTTGTCTCATATGCATATCTGTATCCGCCAATTCCTGTTAAGATTTTATTATCAACATTTTATTGCTTTTATTGTCGAAGGCAAACGAGATATGATTCTTCTTACCAATATTGTCATTCTCGTATCTTAGAATTTGAGCGTTGCTTGAATCGTCAACTGGGGCAGCAAGGCAAGCTGTCATTACAAGTGCCAATATCACAATGAATTTCATTTTTTTTGATTTATTTCCTTCAACTTTTGATGTTTACACTGGAGAAATTGATAATCAAATGCATGATTAGGTGATGTGCTATCACCTTTTTATACTATCTTGAGTCTCTTTCTTTTTGTGTTTTGTTTTGCAGATTGTATTTTTAATTACTACAACGCATCATTATAAAATCATAAATTTCTACCACCCAAAAACTTGACTAATTCACATTCCATCAACTTGGATCCATCCAATCACATTTTGAAGACTAAATTAAATAACGAAAATTATATAAAACAATCATTTGTATAATATTTGGTCAAAATATTTTCCCATTCGATTGATTCACTCACTCTCCCTTTCCAACGATCTTTAAAGAAAAAAAGTTGACGATACAAATAATTGATGTTAAAAAGTGGGATTTATTTGCATTTTCGTTTGTTACGAATATTTATTTGTTAATAATATTAAGTGAATAGATACAATCAGCGTAATGACAAAGACTAGGAAATGTTTTAATAGCTTGTGACATTTAACTGATGCTGCTGCATTCAACATTTCAATTAATAACTCAATTTTATAATTTACAACTTTGTGTTGATTCTGACGATAGCTAAAGTAAACATGCAAACAAGTTTATTGGGCACTTAGCAAACGAATGTTGATGAACCTGCTTGCCGGCCTTTTCCAATTAACAATTTCAGATTTTATTCTCAGGTGTTTCAAATTGAAATAAAACCGAGTACTAAGAAGATATCGTTTCAATCCTCCATCTCTTCTGTGTATTAATTGAATTTTTAAAGTCATTAAATTTTAAAAAAAAGTATGCCGCGCATGTAGCAGAAATGTTTTGAAACATCTTAAAGAAATTATTATCTTTTGAAATTATTTAAACAACGGGATCGTCTTCGTTGTTCGTGGCTTGTTGATCTTCTTCATTCAACTTAAAAAGATTGGCAAAAAAAAGAGTTTCATTGATGTTAATTTCGTGATCAAGGTTTGGTTGGTTTCAGTGTTTTAAATAAATGATTAATTGCTTTGAATTTTCGTGAACAAGTATCTAAAACAAAAACAATTTAAATATTCAACTTAAGTCTTCAGTCTATATCCGATACGATGACAGCTCGTTAAATCCAATTGTTAAATCAATATTGACGAATACCGCTCTAATCCCCTTGCTCATCCAATCAATCGACATGATCTGGCATTCAAAGAATCTTCAATTGGAAAAATGACTCACATCAAATGCTAAATCCAAGTCAAGTTAAATAGTTCGTCGCTTGATCTCTCGTTGAAGTCTTTTGTTTCACGTGGGTTATTTCATCAATGAAAACATTAATTTACGTAAAATTGAATAACAAAAATTGTAAGTAAGTTCATTAACAGAAAAAAAAATTAATTTTCATCGTATGTCAATGTCGAAAAAACATCGCCGAAGATATTACTTAAAATCTTTAACAGATACATAAATAACGAGTTTGTTTACATTCCATACATTAAATATCGTTCACTTGCGCTATGTTGAGACGTGAACGAAATTGTTTAACATGACTTCCGAATTTTTCTCCATTTTCGTAAGCAAAACAATGACTAACGTTGACTTGACGTGTCATTCAATGTTTCAAATAATCATCAAGTTCCCGGTACTTAAGTAAATCTGTATTTGGAATGCGTAACTTCGCACCAGTACTTTCGATAATCATAAATAAGTAAGAAATAAATTCATCATCATTACGACCATTAAAATGCTCGTCGTTGACATTTAAAAAACATTGCTAAAATATTTTTTTATATTTGAATCGTTTCGGATATTTTATGATTGCAATTAAGTCTGTCTAGGTTGAAGTACTTTAAAATGTTATTTAATTAAAATGTAATTTAAAATCGCCACAGATATTAAAGCGTTAAACTTTCCCAAATATGTTAAATTGTAAGTGTAGTCGCGTTTATCTTTGTCTCTCTGTTGAGGTGAAGGTCGTTTGGCTGTCTTCACTACTGACATGATTAACTTCCCATGCTACTTTTCTTTTGTAGTAATATAATGAAAGTGTCTTAACGATTATTATTGATTGAAAAGTGTCTCTTTCGATGTCATTACAAATAAACTGGAAGCTGCATGAGATCTTTAAATGTGAAAATCTTCGACATTATATTTCATATGTGTATGATGTAAACTTTTGTGCTTGTTGGATAATGAATATTCTTTAATTGTGCTAACGACCTCACGACTTTATTCAATAAATTACAAAGCTCATCGACGAATTTTGTGTTTTTTTTTCTTCGCAGTGCCATGTCTCATGATCATCTGGAATTTCATCTCATAATGTGCATTAATCATAATCGTAGATAAATTTATTCACACCAATATTTCACATATGTAAGTCACACGCACAATTTTCGTTTCTGATGATCTTTCAATCGAAAAATATTAATCGTGTTTTCAATTTGCCATGACAGATGATCGTTGCTCAAGTCTTTGAAGAGATGAAGGAAAAAAAGATTGCAATGATCCTTCGTTGAAAGTGATTAACATTTCACTTACTTTTTAATCGTAACTTTTTTACTATTATTTATAACTTCTGCATTATTGTGGGATTACAATAGCTTAATAATAGAAAAACTTTAAAAATAATCGAATGTTTCTGTCATGTAAGCAGTGATCAATCATAATATCGTAGCGTGAGTTGATTAATTAACTTCTCAATCGGTTACATTTCACTCCTGCACATAAAATTTTATGGACTAGGGCACGAGCCTAAACAACTGAAATGCCAAAAATAATTGACTCGATAACTCTTTTTAAACATTTCAATAGCTTTTTTATTTACAGTAAATTTTGAATGAAATTTTTAGGTGATGCGATGAAAGTAATGGTGAAATATGATGAAATTGATCACTTATTTTCTTTATAAAATAGCAACCATTATTTATTTATTTCGGGAGATGATCGCCTTGTGGTTGGAAGCCATTCTCATCAGCGATAAAAGTAATCGTATATTGTTGACCATCAGGCGCATACCAACTGATTGTTCCACGTACAACTAAAATCTCATCTTCTGTGCCGGCATTTTTCACTTCTGCTTCTTCCGTCCTTGAGACTCCGTCACTTGTTTCGTAACTACATTAAAAAGCAATAATTAAAAAAATTATTGTGTTAAATAATGGGCATCGTAATTGTTTTAACTCGTCATTCACCTGAAGCGATATCCTCCGATGCCAATATTATCACTCTCATACTTTAAGATCTGTGCATTATTGGAGTCATCAAGTGGGGCAGCAATGCTGACAGCGATGAGAATTGCAAGGATGATAAACTAATAAAAGAAGTAGTTAAAAGCAGTTATAATCAATTATCATTCAACTAGAGGTTTTATCATCCAATTACAGTTGAAGTTTAATTTTTCTTAAATAAATCTTTTTGTCGGATGATTTAATAACATTTAAGATTGCTAAAAAAAATAACTTTCTCTCCGATAAGTTTTCGTTTCTTTCGTCTTTAATGCAATAAATTGATAAGTGGAGATCATTAAATATCTTAAATAATATGAAAAAATTTTTCATCACTTTTTAACAACTGAAACAGTGTCAAGTTATCTCATCTTAAAATAACTTTTTTATAGTTCATGTTCGTACAATTAGATAAAAAAATTATTTCAAAATAAATTTTCTTTTCATGTCTATTTTGGATTTACAATTTAACGTTTTGCATCTTGAAAATCATGAAAAAAGCGAATTAAAGCCGACTTATATTATTACGATGAATATTATTTGTGATCACTTCTTAATTTATCATCCCACACATTATGAAATGATTGCTTCATCATTGTCACGTACCGATTTCATTTTAGGTGCACTTGAATTGAAGCAAACACTTTATGACTTTATGTATAAATGATTGGATGGCAATCGATGTCTTTAACGGTATTCTTTGAACTAAGCGATCATCATTATGCTCCATTCGCTTTATATTATTGTTGTCCGTTTCTCGTGAATACGAAAGTATGTAGGTAATTGATGATCGTTGTATATTCCTAAATAAATCCTATTACCGTTTAAGAAATATTGTGAAAATATGAATACATTTTCTGCAGTTCACTCAAAAAAAACAACAAAAACAAAGATAGTTAAAACATTTGTTGCCACTGCATGGAAGTTATCTAATGTAAGACAATATTTCATCCCCTCTGGTACGCTCTTCATAGAAGTTTACATAGCAACACAAACAGTTTCAAACGTTCGTTGATTTGTTTTTGCTATTTTTAAATTTTGTTACTTGAAAGAGCGACGACCAGCGTAACACGTTGTCGTGTGAGAATCATCAGTGGAATTCAAAGCTTCATCATCTGATCATTGAAAAGTTTAAAGTGCACAAATAAATAAATTAGCAAAAGCATTTGCATAAAATACTGAAGAAAGATCACTAAACCTGAATTAAGCTACGGAATGTTTTAGCTGACATGATTGAACTTCTCATTAATAAAATTATAAAAATTATAATTCACATGCTCATTACAATGTATTATAACTTGATGATCGATTGAATGACGGTCAATGTCAGTTTAACGTTTAAACTGTTTAAATGTCATAATGTAATCGAACTTTTGCAACAAAACTCGTACAATTGAAAAAAGATGATCTTCATTAGCACCACGCAATCGGTTGCATCTTTTTACTTTATTTATATGTGAACTAAACATCATGGCCACGGAATCGCATAAAGTACTAAAACTTACATTATCTGTCATACACGTAGCTAATCCACGCTCGGCTTGATACTTTACATAAATCATTTCGTTATTGCATGCACATTTACTTACTTTACCGAAGAGTTTAAAGACTTTTACTGTGCGCTTATTTCATTCTCTGTATGAGAATTCCTTTCCTGTTTCCATCTTCACACAAAGATTAAACAACAGAAAAGAATGCTGAAATAAAAATGAAATTTTATGCTTTCAATACTTAAATTACACGTTCGGATATTATTTTCGGTCCATATCGAGAAGATATTTCTCATCGTCTGGAACTTTAAAAAATGTTTTTTCCTTACAAAGTATAGACTTAATAAATGATATGATGTCATCCAGTTAAAAACACAAACCCCTTTTAAAGTTCCATGGTAAGGAATGAAACTGGTTTTCACTTTCAATCCCATCGAATGTGTGTTACTAAGTCTCTCGGCAACAAACAAAAAATTATTTTTTTGTGCCACTTTCGCTATCATGCGATTTAATATTTTTCGCCATTCATCTTTGTGATAAATTTCTTATTATAAAATTTGCATCTTTAAATGCTTCATCATGCAGCGTTAACTTTAAAGAGCCCAAGAGAAATTTGAGATGTGGTGATTTATGGCATAAATCAAAATTATCATAATTCTCGTGATTTTTTATATCAAATTGCAATACATATTTAGTTGTTATATAATGTGAATAAATATAATTTCTTAAGCATCTTCATAAACAGACAAAAGTAAAGAAATGAGGAATTAATTTTTATTTCGTGATAAGCGTTTTTGCTGGATGAAATCGATTCCAATATTGTCGATGAATGACATAATACATTAGCATAAATATGTAAACATAAATATTCAGATCACATCAACTTTTAATTAAACTTGTGTAGCTTTTGAGCTGTCGATAGCTTTGGAGCTGTTTAAAAGATAGATAGCCTCGTTTTGATAATAATGATCATATTTTTACGAGCAAGTCTAATGATAAATTAAGGAAATTATCTTTTTAAGTCAAATTTCAAACAGTGGCATAGATAATCAAAAATTTGATTCGATAAGATGATGCAGAGAGTTGCAGAATTATTAATCACATTGAAATGCAAAAATAAGGAGCTTAAATTATTCAATAGTAGACGTCAATATTCAAATGAATTAATAAGTAATTTGAATGTTGCATGTTAATTAGATAAATACTTCTTTATATGCAAACTCAAGAGAGAATTAATTTTTTTTATGATTTAATAGAGAACGAATTTAACTTCTTTTTTTTTCTCATTGTCGAAAAGGTTAACATATTTAGCTCTCGTTTTATTCTGCAAATTCCTCGCGAAGGTTTCGAAGACTTAATTGACACAATGTTTTTATTAACATCAGCAATATCTCGAGGAAGTTTTATTTAATTCAACGTTCAATTACCATTTCTGTAAATTAGCATTTAAAGGTTTTAAAAATTGTTAATAATCTGCTATGTGGTAGATCCGGTAATTAAATGTCTTCAGGAGTCGCCACTCATCGACTATTGCGTAGATTTGAAGTGATATTTACACTCATTAATTATTATGCTTCTGCATAAACTTGAACTTTCAATTTGAAAAATTATTTAAAACATGTAATCATCTAATTTCTTGACAACAACACAAAAAAAATCTTCTTTATACATTAAAAATTTTATTAATTAAAAACCTAACTCAGCATGGAAATTTTTATGTTCACACATTCTTTAAATATACGCAAATTTATTAATCTTAGCTGCTTGATTAGATTTCTAGGAACTTTGAATAAAATAAAGACATTTTGCATTTGATTATCGCATATTTAATATCAAAGTTTACATGACTATAAGCAGACGAGTTCTAAACCATTCAATTGTGTAGAAGAATTTTTAAAATGTTCAAATCCTGAAATTCAGCAAGAACGTGGAGTGTTAATGTCAAAGATCGCTTTTTTACCCTACGAGCGATTGAATCAAACTGCTTTTAATTCGTCTTTGAATTGTTAACTTTGGTTTGTAACCATTCTTATCGGCTCGATACATTGTTGTGTAAATATTGTTGTCAGTTCCAACATATGAATACATTCCCATCACGACCATTTCTTCTTCTGGTGTGCCTTTATTCATAAGCATACCGACTTCACTTCTCGATTGACCATCGCTCAACTCATATCTTTAAGGAAAATTTAATTAATAGCATCTTGAGATATTGAATTTCAACCTAAAATCATCAACTCACGAATATCTGTATTGTTCAGTTCCGTGTTCGTTTTCATTGCTTAAAAGCTTCACCATCATATCAGTTGTGATTTCACGATCTTGTTCTTGTGTTGATACATTGCCGATGTACAAAGCAGTGACACAAATAACAATTAACTTGAACATCATAACAAGTTTTATAGTTTCGTAATAATATTCCTTCTTCTCGTTACGAAAATTCGGGTGATACTGCGAGATGATTGTTGCAGAACGATTTTTTCAATCTCTCAATGTGAACTGGTTTTTTTTTGTGTGATAAATATATGTAAGTTATATGGTAATGTCATTTTTAATCTACGTTTAAAAAGTGAAAATTCACTCTTGACCAAGTTCATTTAATTATTTACACAACTTATATAAATAAAATCCAATCTCTAATAAATTTCAGCTGGCATTGACACCTAATCTTTATTTATTTTTTCTTCATCATCATTTACTCCTAATAATGTTTTAACAATTTTTATTGGAAGGTATTGTGGCCCAGCTGTGCTACGGGTAGATGTCCCGGATCCTTTCCTGACTTGTGGGTAATACACTTTTTCAGTATTTTCTTCTGATTCAGATTCACCATATCTTATGAATGGATTTTTAGGCCTTTCGTAATTGTAGCTTCCTGAAGTGTTTGCTTCTCCAATGGGAAAAATGGTAGCCGTAGCAATTAGTAACAATAAAAACATACATCCCTAATAAAAATTATTCAGAAAGCATCAAAACTTTTAAGAAATATGAATCTTACGATTTTCACCATTTCGATAATCTAATGCGGATCGAGAAATGTGACTGAAGAACATGGTTGTTCCAAATCTATTTATAAGAAATTATCATATTGATTTCTTTGTTTTCTAGAACGTTATTAAGTATTGTGAACACATTGAAAAACTAAGCAAAGCAACTTATCTTTTAAAATATTATATTTTTTGCTTCATTTTCTATCAATGAAACCGCTTTTATGATTTCTGTGGACATTTTTTCTGAGAACGATTTTGCAAATCTCAATAATGTTTCAAATAACTTTAGGCTTCAACTACTCTTTAATATTTTGATGATCCTGTGGAAATATAAAAATATGTAGGTATCTCTATCCACACAATGAATTAATACATTTAGGATTTATTTCTTTTTCAACAGGAGGTAAAAATTCGTATGAAGAAGCACTTATTATTGGTTTGAATCCTTCATCGTCTGCAGTGTAGACTACTCGATAACCCTTACCATCATCCCCAAAAAAAAAGTAGCTTCCTTTGACAACAAACACTTCTTTACCTCCAATTGTTTCAAATTTACCAGTTTCTTGTCGAGATTGTTCATCATCTTGTGAATATGAAAAGGAATATCCGCCATTTGGTAAGTGTTTATATTCATGTACGTATATTTTCGCAGAGTTTCTCTCTTCTAAGGGAGCGCAGTTTGCAACTGAAGCAATGATTAACAATAAAAATCCCTAAAGTAATGGAAAGTTATTAACACTTTTGTCCAGATTCTCATAATTTGTAAATGAACAATAAAGCTTACGATGATCAGCATTTTGACAGTCTTTATTGTACAAACGAAGAAATGAAACTAATATGAATGATAACTTTTTATTCATCTCTATATGACAAATAAAGCTAAACTATTGAGGATTATTATTGTTCTTCTTCTACATAAATATCATAGTGGGTTTAATAAAAGGTCAATGTTTTTGTTTTCATATTCCGTTAAAGAGACTTTGAAAGTTGTTAAAAATCGTTTCTATCTTTTTCATTCACTTTCATTGATTAATTTATAAAATTTTAGAGTTGAAAAAAAAATTAGCAATAACTTTAACTTCTTGAAATAAATAGCTTTTGATCTTCAAATTCAGCGTATATTATTGTTCTATGCTGTGAAGTAAAAAAAAACCTCTGTGCAACAAAAACTTAGTTGAACATCACATCAATAATTCATACATTACGAGATTTATCTTGTCTCAAGTATTTTATTCTTTGTCATGATTAAAATCAGCACATTTAAGATGAATGTTTTCAAATTCGGCATGGGTGTTTAACTAATAATTTTCACAATTAATTAGCCTACTAAAGAAGCAATAACATTACTTGAGAGAAAAGGTATGGAAATAGTCTCGCGCCTTGTTGATTTGAAGCCTTCATGGTCTGCCGTGTAAATTACTTGATAAGTTTTTCCATCTTCGGCAACATACGAGTAAGCTCCTTTGACTACAAACACTTCTTTGCCTTCAATTGTTTCAAATCCACCAGTTTCTTCTCGAGATTGACCATCGCTTAAATAGAAGTTCCAGGAATATCCACCATTAGGCAAATGTTTGTATTCGTAGCTGATGATATCTGCATCGTTTTTCTCACTCAATGGAGCGCAATTCACGACTAATGCGATAAACAAAATCAAAAATCCCTAAAATAGGTATTTAAAACAAATTTTAAATCAGTCAATATTTTATACCAATATTAAAAAATTTATCGAGATTACTATCTGTAGCATGTTCACTACCTTACTTGTACAGCTGTTGATATGTTACTGAAGAGTGTGGATGTAAGAAGTTACAACTCATCTCATTTCGAACCAAGCTCTGAAATGCAAGATTTTCATCCTTTTTATTCTTTTTTTATTATTCACTGTAAGGCCATCGCTTATCTCGAACTAAGTGAAAGAGACCTTCAAAGTTAAAAGAAAGAAGAAACTTAAGTAAAGTTTTTATATCAAGTTCATATTCTTAAAATTAATTTTATCTGAAGTAATTTTAATGCTATTTGAAAATTAAAACTAAAACACTTGCAGTGTCGTTCAAAAATTTATTTAGAAAAACTTGTAGAAGATAAATTGATTAAAAGTTTAATCTCAAAGAAATAAAATGTATGAAAATCACTAACAGAAAACCTGCTTTCGTGAATCAAATGTCAAAGTAATAAAATCAATATCTTCGGAAGTTTTTCAGGCAATTTCAAGAATGTTTTTCACATCTGCTTCTCCTACTAAAAGATTGTAATTTCTCATTGGAAATTGCAGATACGTAAAGTCAGTTTGTGGGAGTTCATTTCCTGGTGCTAGTTTGAATCCTTCATTGTCTGCTGTATAAATTACTTTATAAGTTTTGCCATCATCACCAACATACGAGTAGCTTCCTCTGACTACAAACACTTCTTTACCTTCAATTGTTTCAAATTCACCAGTTTCTTCTCTAAATTGTCCATCGTCTTGAGAATATGAAAAGGAATATCCGCCATTAGGTAAGTGTTTGTATTCATAGTTATCAATTTCCGGAGTATTTGCTTTGCCAAAAAGATCACAGTTCACAGATGATGAAACGATAAACAGTAATAAATATCCCTAAAATAATCTTATTTATAATTAATTTTCCTATAAAGAAATATTAAAACTTACAATTTGCAACATTTCCACAATCTTTCTTACACAGTCTCATAAGTGTGACTGAAGATGGTGGTAATAAGAGTTAATTAAGAGATTCTCATATTTTGGATAAAGCTCAAAATATGCAATCATTGTTTTCATCTTCATTCTCTTTTTATGTATTGTATCGCAGTGTTAAGGCTCAAGAATTTTTAGAAATCTTTTATTCATAAACACATTCTGAAGGTGCCAAAAACATTAATCAATCTCAAGTTTTATTGATAGATAAATTTTGCACATTAAAGGTGAAGTTTCTTTTTTAATTAATCATGCACAAAGCAACTAATTATCCTACTAAAGTGGCAATGACTTTAGGTGAGATGAATTGAATTGCTACAGTCTCAATAACTGATGGTTTAAATCCTCCATCGTCTGCCGTGTAATATACTTCATAAGTTTTGCCATCTTCCCGAACAAACGAGTAGGTTCCTCTGACTACAAACACTTCTTTATCTCCGATTGTTTCAAATTTACCAGTTTCTTCTCGAGATTGTCCATCATCTTGTGAATATGAAAACGAATATCCGCTATTAGGTAAGTGTTTATATTCATAGCTGACAATTTTCGGTGTGTTCGTTTTTTCCAAAGGGGCACAATTCACAATTGAAACAATGAATAACAAGAAAATCACCTAGAAGAATTGTTATATAAACATTTAATGACACATTTTAATTTTCCTATAAACAAATAATAAAACTTACGATTCGCAACATCTTGACAATCTTTATTATACAACTTTGAAAATGAGAATGAATATTTCAGTCTCAAGAAATGTTTTCTACTCATCTTGGTTCGAATGATGCTCTGAACAGTGGAGTTTGTAATTTTTATTCTCTTTTTATTTATTGTATTGTTATTATAACCACGTTCATCTCAAAATAGGTGAAAGAGGCCTTGAAAGTTGAATAAAAAAAGGAAATTTTAGAAAAGTTTTAATATCAGAAGGTTAAACAAAAAAAGAGATTTCATTTCTAAAATAACTTCTTGTCTATGCTGCAGTTTTTTCCTGATATCTTTCAGACAAAATAATTTTGTAGTTATTAATGTCTTCAGTTAGGTACGAATTTTTCACTAAGCTTAAATAAAACAAGTATTTAATGATAATGCGCATTTTTAAATGAGATTATTCTTAATTTATGTCAATAATTGTCAATATACAGTAGAATTACGTCATAGAAGAACTCATTGACTTCATGCAGCAGATTTTTAAACTCGTTTACAGAACCATGCTAATAATACCTACTTTGAAATCATAAATACTATCTCGTTGAAATTATAATATAAGGATGTCGAGAGTTGTATGTTAGATGGTCGTAGATACGCTGCAATACATCTTACATGATCATATTTGTTTGTTTGTTTTCTAGCACGTTAGATAGTCAGTAATGTGAATACATTGAAAAACTAAGCATAGTAGTAAAGAGATCTAAACTTATCTTCGTAAGTATTTTAGTTTTTGTCTCTTTTCATAATCAATGAATCCGCCTTTAAAAAATGTGTGTGAATTTTATTGAATTTCTTTTCTTTATATTTTTTAACAATTTGTAAGACTGTTAGTAAAATTCAACGCGAGTACTTCAACAGACAAGCCTTTTTACAGAAGTTCACGGAGAGGGATTTACTCGTCCCATACTCGAGATTAGTGGGAGAGAGAGTTGTTTCGCTTTCAGTACAGTTCCATAGAGCCTTTTTTCAGTATGAATTCTCTCATTGTTTTCCTTAATATGCATGCATATTAAATCGATACAAAGGGATTTCAAATCTGTTTTATCTCTATATCTCGCTTTCCTGTTGGCGAAAAACTTTTTAATTATCAAGCCGAAGTATCTAAACTTCTTAAAACCTCATTATAATTTTTTGTCCATGCCAACACAATTCCCAACACTACTCATTATTCCTTTTTGAATTGAATAATCGTCATGAATNAGCACATGAACTTTCATTATTTCATCACACTGAGGGAGTTCTTTTTTAATATTCTAAATCTTCTTCTAAATCATAAATAAAATATTTCATTACACTCCAAATTAAAACTTACATTCCTAATTTTTTTTTTACTCTTTTTCAATAATTCATATAACTTACTTCCATAAGCTATACCAATTACAATAAGGATTATAATTTAAATATTTTTTCATTTTTTTAACGCTTTCTCACTTTTTTCTTAACCCAAAAGATCTCACTCTTGAGTTAAAATTGTTTCACTTCAAACTGAGATTTTTCTTGGAAATATTAAATTTCTTGCAATTTATTAAATTTATAGTAAGATGATTTTGAGTTGGTATAAATGATGTAGGAGATAACTTTTTAAGTTTTATTAACAATGAACACATCTGTAATAAAAATTATTTCATAAGCATTTAAAATTTCTATAAAGAATTGAATTATTAAACAAGGATTATCTTGAATTTTACAATCTTTAGAATTGGATTAGATATTTTTATTTGTTTATTCTTATCATATTTTACAAATGTTGAGTAAACATTTTTAAAAGTCATCCTTCAATTTATATAACAAGAAACAAAAATAAGTAAAATTATCCAACTAAAGTAGCAATAGCTCTAGGCGATATGTCTTGCGTCATTGGAAATGCAAACGCAATATCACCTGTTTGCGTAACAGGTTCAAGTAATACTGGTTTGAACCCTTCATTGTCTGCCGTGTAAATTACTTCATAAGTTTTGCCATCATCCCCTTCATACGAGTAACTTCCTCTGACTACAAACACTTCTTTGCCTTCAATTGTTTCAAATTCACCAGTTTCTTCTCTAAATTGTCCATCATCTTGAGAATATGAAAAGGAATATCCGCCATTAGGTAAGTGTTTGTATTCATAGCTATCAATTTCCGGAGTAGTTGGTTTGCCAAAAAGATCACAGTTCACAGATGATGAAACGATGAAGAATAAAAAACATGCCTAAAATAACGTTTGTTATTATAATTTAATTTCTTTTAAATAAATAAATAATATTTAAATCTTAC